GTTAAGGGCACTTGAAACTTCTGCAGTGCAGGGCACTAGGTGTTTATTCTCACTTGCCACTAACTATCCTGAAGAATGATTAATGTAAAGTGAATCTTCTAGTATGTGGAAATGTCTCCCAAAGCAGATGAAAACAAGAAGCAGAATTTAAAATCAAGAGAAGAGGGATATGGCAGTTCACTTAGATTTAATTTTCCTTTCTACCATCTTCAATGAGTTCTTTCGGGTGATGGGTACTGCTTAGACTCCTGCTAGCTATCCTCTCGGCCCCCAATACTGATTTCCCTTAAAATTAATTCGAATTAACACTCTCGTAACCACAAACAGCAAAGGTTTCGTTGGAATGACCAGTAAATAAATGTTCGGCTCTGTAATTTGCTTGTAGTCCTGCCCACTTTTAGGGTGGAGAACAGAGAAGGGAGCAGAGCTAGGTTCCTCACATGCCCAATCCCTGCCCCACCACACACACATATTCACCCTAAAAAGCCTGTGATGAGAGAAAAAAATTCTGTGACCTATTACTTCCATTACTAAATCTGGAGGAAAAGAATGGGCTACTTTTATCTTCATTTTCTAACGTAGGATAGTGAAAATGGCTCCTGGGAAGACTAGGAGAAATGAAGGCAGGGATTGGTGGAAGTAAACTTGGGAACCGACCCCAAACCAGTGGATCTCTCCAGACTGCAGCTAGTTCCCATGCTATGAAAAAGAGGATAGAATCAAATATCTAGCTCAAAGAGAAACATCAATGGGTCTCAGATACAATGGGAAGAAAGACTAATAATTTACCCAGACGGTATTATGGGAAATTGAACTTCTAGACTGACATGCTCAAGTGTGAGCAACATGAAAACAAACTGCATGGCCACTGTGCAAAATCATTGCAGAAAAATAAAAACAAGAATACTATGAAATTATATTAACAAAAGGAGGGAGGGTGTATTTGCTTTCTAGGACTGTCATAGCAAAGTACCACAGACTGTATGCCTTAAACAACAAAAATGCATATTCTCACATATTCTGGAGACTTGAAATCCAAGATGAAAGTGTTGTCAGCATTGGCTTTTCCAAGGCTTCTTTCCCTGGCTGTAGATGGCCCATGTCTTTACATAGTCTTCCCTTTGTGCCTGTTAGTATCCACATGTCCTCTTTGTGTAAGAATAAACAGCTTGATGACTTCATTTACGTTTAAGTACCTCTTCAAAGACCCTATATCCTAATATAGTCAGGTCCTGTGGTCCTAGAAGTTAGAACTTCAACATTTAAATTTGGAAGGCAGAGAAGGGACACAATTTAGCCCGTAACAGAAGGTTAGAAATGGACATTAGTGGTCAAATGCAAACAAAGAAAACAACTCAAGGAACAGGAAGAAATCCCTGATAATTGCTGTATGCTGAGCATCACATGATATGAATGTGAATTCCATGTAATCAGAGTTTAAAGATAAGATGTTAAAATGAAAGAGTAAGATAAAAGATTTTGTTTCTAAGAAAACAAGTTGAATATCAAAAGCAACACACTCCACAATATATAGAAACAGTGAGAAGCAGAATACATAGGGCTGAAATTATATTATTTTCATAGAAAAAATGACTAAGATAATCACAGTTAGTACAGATAAAATCTTATGACTTTAGAGAAATTATAGGAAAGTTACTAGACATAGAAACTATTTAGACCATCCAACATAAGGATCATTGATGCCTCTGAAGTAACAAGCTCAAAAACAGAATGAAGATATATTTGAAGATTTAGGAGAATTTTCCTGAGATAAATCATTGACGTTAGGATTGAATAAGCACAGTGTGTCCCAAAAAAGAATTTATACAGAAAGTTTAACACTGGGACAGATCTCAAATAAGCTATAGAACTTCAAAGCTAAGGAAAGAAGTCTTTAGGTCTTAATGGGAAAAAAAGAGAGAGAAGGAATATCACCTGTAAACAGGGAAAATTAAAGTTAGCCTCCAAGTTTTTCACAATAACATTTAAAACTGGCAAAAATGGACCAATGCCTACAATATCCCAAGGAAAAGAAAGTGTGGTCAGGCTCGGTGGCTCAGCCTGTAGAGAAGGGACACAATTTAGGGAGGCTGAGGTGAATGGATTGCCTGAGCCCGCGGGTTCGAGACCCGCCTGGGCGACAAGACCTCATCTCTACAATAAATCAAAAAATCAGCCGGGCGTGGTAGCGCATGCCTGTAATTCCAGTTACTCGGAAGGCTGAGGCGGAAGGATCGCCGGAGCCCAGCAGGTTGAGGCTGCGGTGGCCAGGAGCGGCCACTGCACTCCAGTCTGGGCGACCGAGTGAGACTCCAACTCAAAAAAAAAAAAAAAAAAAAAAAAGAAAGTGTGACCCAAAATATTATTTAGGTATAAAGACAATAGGCAGATATTTGCAACCACTAAATAATCCAAAGGATACAGTACCAATAAGCTCTTTGTAAAAATATTACTTGACAGTGCAATTTTGTGAGATAGATGAGCTATAATATAAACAAAAAAATTTGCAAAAAGCCTTTAGGGATAGAAAAGTCAGAGTTAAAAAAAAAGACTGATGCCAGTGAATATTTTATCCATTTAAATATAAAAAGTTTTGAACAGTTATGGATCTGGGAATACAAATACACTTTCTCATATATGAAAGGATATTTGCACAAGATTATTCATTACAACATTAATTGTAATAGCAAAAAATTGAAAACAAACCATGGATCCATCATTTGGGGCCAGATTTAAAAACTCTGATACATGTGAAATGAAATGGAATCTTAGACCACTGCAAGGAGAATGAGGATGCTATGTATGTATAAGGAAAGCTATCCAACATATATATTGTTAAATCAAAAAAGCATTATAGTGATAAAGGGAGAAAATAAAGACATATTCGTAATTGTTTCTATCTGCAAACAGAAACATCAGTATTATATATAAGAACTAAGAGAAGTCATTGTCTAATGAGGACAGGGAAACTAAAAACACAGGACGAGGGTGGAATTGAAACCTCTCAATGTACAGCATTGTGTATTATTTTGACTTTTTAAATCATATGAATGGTATACATTCAAAACACATTTTTTAGAAGATGATAGGAATGATAGTTATCGAATAGAATCAAAGTGTAGTAAACCTGGACAATGTTAAAAACAGCAACATAACTATTCAAAACTTGGAATTGAAGAGAGGGGAGATGAAAAAGAATCTGTCAGTGCTAATCTTTCAAAACAGCATCAGTAGATAATGTCTAAATTGGAAACAGAGTTTAGAAAATACGACTCCAATTTACTTCATAACTTTGTAATGTATTGCATAATCATTTAATGTGTACTTAATAATCTCCTTTTTGAAACTTAAAGGGATCTTGTATGAAACAATACTTCCTGTGTCAAAGAAACATTGATGTACAATAATTCCTTCAGTTTCATTTTAGTTTCTTCTTGTATTTAATTCGAGTAAAATCAAAATTAACAACTTTAATAAAATAGCACTTGCATGACTCTATCATAATATAAGTACTTCTATTTATTTTTCTACCTAGCTATCCTTATAGTTCTAAAGAAAAATGAAAAATGGCTAAAATAATGTTTGTCCATGTGAGCAATGACAGTTTCGGGGTGGGTAGTTTTGAGGTGATTGGTTTTACTTTTCTATTAGTGCTTTTCTTGATTATTTTAATTACAATAAGCGTAGATCATCTACTAAAAATAGGATGATCTTTCTTTAAGCATGCACATGATTACACACACACACACACACACACACACACACACACACACACACACACACTCTCTCTCTCTCTCACAGAGGAAGCAAATGCCTGAAAAGGTTTACAGTGATTGATTCAAATAGAAGAAATTGGCCAAGCACAGTGGCTCACACCTGTAATCCCAACATCGGGAGGCTGAAGCAGGAGGATCGCTTGAGCCCAGGAGTTCAAGACCAGTCTGGGCAACATAGCAAACCCTCTACCAAAACAAACCAAAAACTAGTCGGGCATGGTGGCACACACCTATAGTTCCAGCTACTTGGGAGGTTGAGGTCAAAGGATCACCTAAGCCCAGCAAGTCAAGGATGCAGTGAACCATAGTTTTGTCACTGTGCTGCACTCCAGCCTGGACTACAGAAAGAGACCTCAACTCAAAAAAAAAGAAGAAGAAATGTGGTGATTGGATATCTGCTTTTCTTTGTGTACTCTTCCGTATTTTAAAAGTTTTAAACAATGTTAAAAACCTTGTTAATTTTAAATAATTTAATCGTTTAACGAATGCATAGAAAGTGCACGTTGTCCTCCATTTCCATCCCATCCTTCCAGTTTTTGGGATATCTTTTCACGCTGAACACACAAGCACATTTGAGTTTCATGTTTGCTTCATATGTCTTGGGGGACTTTTATTCCACCACATGGAGACCTATCATATGCTTTTTTTTTTTTCTTTAAACAAGAAGTTTATTTAAACAACAAGACGCTTAACTTGAAGGGAAAACTATCTAGGATTTTTTTTTTTTTTAGACTAATTTATCCCTACTTAAAGACAGATTGCCCTACATGTAACAGCTACGTACAAAAAAGTTATAAAATCGTCATTGGTTTTACAATAATAAATGAAAACATTAAAATTCTCCAATTGAACAAGGAATGCAAGGATTTTTTTATGTTGTTGTCTTTTTGTTAAAACAGTGAGAGCAAAATAACTTACTGTAATATAAAGATAAGAGCTGAATGAGCATGCCACTAATGGAGAAAGGGGGTATTTTCACAGAACCAGTATTTGTTCCCATCCCATCCCCACTTGATGTCAATCAAAACATACCATTGGCCATTTAGTTAAAAAAAAATTGCAATATGCGTGTACACATACATCAGTTACTTTATGTACAATAAAGGAATGGGGAAGGGGAAAATGAAAGAATAAAGAAAACTATACTGTAGCAGTCAGGATGTGGTGGAACCAAATTGCAGTTTTCTCATTGAGAATGTAATCTTGGTCTGTAACAACAGAGTTCTGGAGTAAAGAAGCTGGTTCCCTTTTTAGTGGACACCTCCTGTCTGCTGCTGGAACACATCAATTGTATCTTCATCCTCCATTTCCAACTGTGCAGGTGTGTCTGTTTCATTGATTGGCTACCCGTCCAATCGGAATCTGATCTGCCTCCTTGACAAACCCTGTCGTTCACAATAGGCTTTCATTAGTTTACTAAGTGGTGTATGCCTCTTAATCTTAAACTGCACCACAGAACCATCCTGCCCCTCCACCTTCAAATTAATATGATCGTTGTTCTCAGTCTTGACTCCTTCCTTGGGCTTTTCGTCGGCCTTGGCGAGTGCCGGAGTCTCCTCAGCAGCCGCTTCACAAAAGAGGCACCAGGTCCGCACCGAACGAACACACAAGCAGCACCAGGAGCCTCATATGCTTTTTAATGGCTACATTATATTCTACTGTATACATGCCATTTTAAATTTTTGATGACTGTTTAGATTGTCTCTCATAAAGTTGACATTACTATAATGTACGTTGTATACTCATGTGAATATATCGTTATATAAATTTATATGAATTCTTAAAGGTGGAATTGCTGGGTCAATAGGTATGTGCTTTACATTTTATTTAACTTTTTTTCCATCGCATTGTAATTTCCTAACTTGCCAAAGTTTTTTTATTTAAGAAATGTACCTGTAGCAGTGTGTGGTGGCATGTGCCTATGGAAGGCTGAGGCGAGGGATCACCTGAGCTCAGCAGGTCAAGGCTGTTACTTGGAAGGCTGAGGCGGAGGGATCACCTGAGCTCAGCAGGTCAAGGCTGCAGTGGCCATGAGTGTGCCACGGCACTCATCTGGGCAACAGAGTGAGACTTGGAGTCAAAAAAAAAAAAAAAAGAAGAAAGAAATATACATAAGTAACAAAAGTATCATGTACTTATAATGAAAAGAAGCATTTTTCTGTCCCACCCCAAGAGGCAAAGAACTTTTAACTAATTTGAACTATTTCTTCTTATGACTATCTCTATAAATCTAAAAAATAAAAAGTTGATCATGACACTTTTTAAATTTTTTGATTTGGAGTCTCACTCTGTCACTCAGGCTGGAGGGTACTGGCACACTCCCTGCCACTGCAGCCTCGACCTGCTGGGCTCAGGAGATCCTTGAGCCTCAGCCTTCCAAGTAGCCAGAACTACAGGCACACGCCACCACGCCCAGCTAATGTTTTGATTTATTGTAGAGATGAGGGCTTGCCAAGTTGCCCAGGCTGGTCTCAAACCTGTGGGTTCAGACAATCCTCTCATCTTGGCCTACCAAAGTGCTAGGATGATAGGCGTGAGCCACCATGCCCGGTCGACACTTCTTAATTGATCAGTTTTAGACTTCTTGCTGTGGCAGATAAGGATTTTGAGTTATGCCACTATTTTTGGTTAAGTTTACAAGGTATATATTATTATAATTACACAAATATTGTCCACTGCTCAGGCAAATAGTATACTACAAGCACAGTTTCCTTATTATACAGATTTTCTTTTTCCTAGAATTTCTAATTGCCCTTCTGTCTCCTCTGACCTCTTCTGATTCCTTTTTCTTGGATCTTAGGTACACAGAACTGGGTTATGGTGATCCTTGGTTTAGGACATAATTTCAATGTCGTTTCATACCAGGACGTCATGCATGTATCTTTTTAGCGATCCATAAATAAGATACAGATAGAGCTCTCCATTTACTTGCTCTTTTCTCCCAAACTCTTCATTATATTGAGTTTTCTATCAAGTTGCCTTTTTCTCCAGTTTCCTCCATCTTTCCCCAATCAAGAATGATTAGTCTCTGACATAATCAATCACATTGTAAATGAATTGAGTAAGTACTCTTTAAAGGAATAAGAAAAAAGTTTTGACAAGCTTACAAACCTTCACTTTTAAGCTCTTGTAAATAATTTTGGTCTATCTTCTAAGACTAGCTAGAAGTAATACAAGAAAACCTTAGGAATGCAAAATTGTTTTATAAAGTGAACAAACATCACATGTTTCCAAGAGATCATATGTAATCTAGTCACATGAATGGCTTTTTTTTTTTTTAAGTTGGGGTCTCACTCTGTCACCCAGGCTGGAGTGCAGTGGCATGATCACCCTTGAACTCCTGGGCTCAAGCAATCTTTTCACCTTGGCCTCCCAACCCTAACCCTAACCCTAACCTGAACTGTAGCTGGGACTACAGGCATGCACCAGCACACCCAGCTAATTTTTTTGATTGTTTTGCAGAGATGAGGTCTCGCTCTGTTGCCTAGGCTAGTCTCGAACTCATAGGCTCAGACAATTCTCCAGCCTCAGCCTCCGAAAGTGCTGGGATTACAGGCATGAGCCACCACACCCAGACTAAATGACCTTTTTTACGTAGGCACATCCACCTTTGCGGGGAGTCCCCCACCCCCAGAATGACTTCTTACTCAATTCAGAAATGAAGATAATTATTGAATATTAATGGCTGAGAAGATAAGAAGGTTATTTTATTTAACCCTCCAACAATATTACCTATTATATGCTTATTTTATGAATGAGAAATTGCAAGGGTAAATTACCTGCCCAAGGTCACACAGCTAGGTTATGGTGGAATGAAAAGTCAAGCCTGGATTTGTTTGACTCCAAAGCTCATATTCTTTCCCCTCTAGCCTGCTTTCTGGACTGCAACACCAAGTCTGACCCACTGTATCGTATTTGTTTTTTCTCTTAGTGGATGAGTGCTCGACTGACTACACAATTGTGCTTCCTGTGATTGGGGCCATCGTGGTTGGTCTCTGCCTTGTGGGTATGGGTGTCTATAGAATCCGCCTAAGGTGTCAATCATCTGGATACCAGAGAATCTAACTGGCACCGAGGGGAAATAAGAATAATGGAGTTTAGAGAATTCTTTCGTCGCTTCTGGGATGGATATTGGGAGCTTCTCTTAAAGTCCTTCGAACAATGTAAACCACCATTTTCCACTAAAAACTAAGCGAGTCATTTGCGATTTAAGCTCAGGCAGCACATCAATCTCTAAATACTTTTTGCTCACTTTATGAAAGATTTAGTAAGCTGTTTATGTTTTCTAGTTTCCTCCAGAATAGTTTAACCACTCAAAGTCAACATGTGAGATACCTTAAATTAACAAAATGTATGTAAAGTGGCATTTGCCTCTGAATGATAAGCCAAAGTCTTGATTGTAACAAATACTACCTGTATTTGCTTTGAAGCTTTTATTTTACTCTTGGTCTTTGCCATTTTAATTAGATGGTTTCGCTTTGCCTTTGCTAGTCAAATGGGCTTTCAGTTAATTTGCTATGTGTGTTTTATGTGATGTACACATTCCTGGCGTAGTACTTGCCTCTGTTTCCATTTTAAATATTTTTTAAACTCATCAAAAAGAACAACATATCTCAGGGTGTCTAGATTTTTTTAATGTGAAGCTAACAGGAAGAACAAATCAGCTTATACTTTTTTTCTTGATGGCTCCTGCTCCAGAAACACTAGCCTATTAAGTGGTACAGACAACAGAATTAAATAATAAGCAAGAAACAACAATAATGGCCCTTAATTATTGAATGCATAAGTGTCAGACACTGGGCGTAGCACTTAGCATACATCCCATTTGATTCTTACAATTTATAGATTATAAACTCAGACATAAGGGAATGAAATCACTCAATTGTCACCTGCCTAACTGGTGGCAACTCCAGAATTTGAACTCCTGTCAGTTTGGTACCAAGATTTTTGGTCTTCTCACTACACCAAGTTGCCTGCAAGAACACTGACTGGATGTGGTGGCTCATGCCTGTAATCCCGGCAGTTTGGGAGGCTGAGGCGAGAGAATAGCCTGAGCCTGAGGGTTAGAGATCAACCTGGGCAAAATGGCGGGACCTCATCTCTATAGTAAATCAAAAAATTAACGTGGTGGTGTGTGCCTTTGGTCCAGCTACTTGGAAGGCTGAGGCAGAAGGATCACCTGAGACCAGCAAGTCAAGGCTATGGTGGCTGCACTCCAGTCTGGGCAACACAGTGAGATGCTGACTCAAAAAAAAAAAAAAAAAAAGACATCAGGCACTGCCTGAAGCCTTGCACCAGTATACGCTCCACTTTACAGGGATAATGGGTTTATCCAGAATCATGAGACATTAGGTAGACAAAAGGAGGACTTTGCTTATAATGTAATAGCCTATTCTTAATAAAGCCACCATTCCCTTGAAGGAGACTGAAGGACTCTGTAAAACATTAGCCGGTTTCTCATGTTCATGGAATTGTTTAGCTGTGGCTCTAAAGATGAAGGCATGAAATCAGTTTCTCAAGGTATGCTTTTTTTTTTTTTTTTGAAAATGGAGAAATTTGGCATAGTGGCTCATGCTTATAATCCCAGCACTTTGGAAGGCCAAGACAGGAGGATTGCTTGAGTCCAGGAGTTCGGTCGGGACCAGCCTGGGCAACATAACAAGACCTCATCTCAACCAAAAATCAGCCAAGCATGGTAGCACTTGTCTGTAGTCCCAGGCACCTGGGAGGCTGAGGCAGAAGGATCACCTGAGCCCAGGAAGTCGTGGCTGCAGTGAGCCATGATAGCGCCACTACACTCCAGCTTGGGCAACAGAGTGAGACTAGGAAGGAGGGAAGGGAGGGAGGGAAAGAGGGTCAGGTGAGGTGGCTCATGCCTATAATTCCAGCACTTTGGGAGGCCAAGGTGAGAGGATTACCTGAGCCCACAGGTTCGAGACCAGCCTGGGCAACTTGGTGAGACCTCATGTCTACAATAAAACAAAAATCAGCTGGGCATGGTGGTGCATGCCTGTACTTGGAAGGCTGAGGCAGAAGGATCACCTGAGCCCAGTGGGTCAAGGCTGTGGTGGCCATGAGCATGCCACTGCACTCCAGCCTGGGACAGAGTGAGACTCAAACTCAAAAAAAAAAAAGAAGGAAAGAAAAGAGGGAGGGAGGGAGGGAAAGAAAAAGAAAATAGAGAAATCTGAAAATCAACTTTTCTTTCTTGGATATAGATCACCCTCTTGTGGTAACTTGCTGCTTCTGCACTTTTATATCCGCGTTTTCTATAGCAGTTCATTTTATTCTGTAGGGCAACCTGCCAAGAATTTTATTCCTGCTGGTTTTTGCTGCTAAAGAAAGGAACTAAGTCAGGACATTAACAGAAAAAGTCGCATAACCTAAGGATTCTTTGTAAAGGAATAATTCAAATCCTAGAGACCATATAGACTTCTCTGATTTGTTTCCTTACAGGTCAGTAGGATTGGCAAGGTTCTGACTTTAGCCTTAAGAGAATATTGAATTGTATTAAAAGCTTTTGTAATAAAAAACTTATTTTGGAGATTCATTCATGTCATTTATTTCTTAACATTCATTTTTCATGTTATACAAAATTCTGTTTGTAATCTTCCTAGTGGGAGGCCTTTAATATGAAAATTGTTGCTTGAATCAATAAGTTAAATCATCTTTCTATAAATAATGTATTTTATTCTACTTTCCATTGCCACATTATTACTAGACAGAAATTCCTAGAAGATAAACCACATTAGAGTTATAAATTAAATCTCCCAACTCTTAGCTTAAACGAACTGATTGCATTACTGGTTTACTTAACTACTGCACAATTTTTTCACTTATTCATTTGGCCAACACTGGTTAAAGATTTACTAAATGCCAGACACTCTGATAAGGGCTGAGATGAATAAGAAGAGGTCCTGCATTACTTATCTATAGTGATCTGAGAAACGGGGGGGGGGGAAGAGAAAGAGAGAGAAACTACAGTGTCTTTTACATCTAATCACAGAAGAGACTTACTATCACTTCTCTGTTTTCATTGGTTATACAGACCATCCCTGGTATGATGTCGGAGGGGAATATACAAGGGTGTGAGTACCAAGGGTCTCAGTCCATTTTGTGCTATAACAGATATATAACAGACTATTGCAGATTTGGATTGTTTGTAAATGATAGAAATGTATTTGGCTCATGGTTCTGGACCTGGGAAGTCCAAGATCAAGGGTCTGCATCTGGTGAGGGCCTTCTTGCTGTGTCATAACATAGCAGAGGGCATCACAGGGTAAGAGAGCACACAAGAAAGAGCACAAGGAGGCCCCACTCCTGCAATAGCAGCATTAATCCATTCATGATGTCAGAGCCCTCATGACCTAATCACCTCTTAAGGGTCCTACCTCTCAACACTATTGTGTCAGGGATTAAGTTTCTACCACATGAGCTTTGTGAGACACATCCAAACCATAGCACCAGGGGAGGGAAGAATCACTGGAGGCATCTTAGATGCTGGCTACTACGGGTCTCTACTGTCAAGGTGCACACCATCATGGAATTCATGGTTTACTTTTTGGAAAAAACTCAGCTAAACAAACCCCAGTGCACATACAAAGAAAAGTGGCTTAATAGGTACAAAGGGTGATGAGAGCAGGGATTTCTCCAGCCTGCTTCCAACCCTTCCCCAAGTAAAGCACATCCCAGGAGCACAGCCTCCCAACCCCTGCGCCGAAAGTCTGTCAACCTTGGAGCCTGACTGTTAGTCCAGTGCTCTGCAATGCTCATGTTAGGGCTTCACCAATCCTTAAGGCAAGTAGCTGGGATACTTGCCAACCCACCACCTCCCCAGTCTGCCCTCTGTTTGTTCTTCTCACACAGCTTTTTCCTGGTTCATAGGCTCCTGGATCCCAGGGGGTCCTCCCTCTGGACTGCTGTTTGGGACTGTAAGCCAACCTCAGGCCTGGAGGGTCTGAAGACACAAATACACGAGCTATTCCTTCATGACCCAAACTTCTTGGTTCTCTAGGATGATTCACAGAGAGGCTTTCTTTGCCCGCTACGCAAAAGAAGCTTAAGCCATAAAAAATGATGGAAGAATAATCTCTACCAAGGGAAGAAGAGTTTAATTTTATAACACCTGGCCAATCACGGTGACTCACTCCTATAATTCCACACTTTGGGAGGCCAAGGTGAGAGGATTGCCTGAGCCCACGGGTTCACGACCAGACTGGGCAACCTGGTGAGACCTCATCTCTACAATAAATCAAAAATGTAGCTGGGTGTGGTGGTGCATGCCTGTGGTTCCGGCTACTTGGAAGGCTGAGGTGGAAGGATCACCCGAATCCAGCAGATCAAGGCTGCAGTGGCCTTGAGAGTACCACCGCACTCCAGCCTGGGCAGTAGAATGAGATTCCAACTCAAAAAAAAAGTATAACACCCTGATCACTCCCTTCATCACCGAGTCCCTTTACCTGCCATCTTGGTGCTTCCAGAATGCCAGTTTTAGGTGGGTGTTGGCAGGCATGAAGAAGAGGTTGCAAGTCATTTTATTTTATTTTTTAACTTAACTGGTATTATTTTAAGAGGAAGACTGGCTCCAGATAAAATTATGAAATAAACTCTGTTTCCAAAATTCTAAAGCCTCCCTTGCTTTCCAGATATTCCCTTGGCTGTCCCGACAAACTCTCCTGTTAAGAGCCCATGTGGCCGGGCTCAGTGGCTCAGCCTGTAATCCCAGCACTTTGGGAGGCCGAGGTAAGTGTATTGCCTGAGCCTGCGGGTTCGAGACCAGCCCGGCAACTTGGCGAGACCTTGTCTCTACAATAAAATTAAAAATAGCCGGGTGTGGTAGCACACACCTGTAGTTCCGGCTACTCGGAAGGCTGAGGCGGAAGGATCGCCGGAGCCCAGTAGGTCGAGGCCGGGGTGGCCATGAGCAGTGTATCACTGCACTCCAGCTTGGGCGAAGGGGTGAGACTCCAACTCAAAAAAAAAAAAAGCCCATGTATTGTCCCAATTTTCTCATAGCTCCATTATCCCCACAACCTCACCCCAACTTGCTTCAGCTGATTCTACCCCATTTTATTATGTTACTAAATGATTCTGGAGTTACATTTTATCCCTGCGAAGGCCGCTTGTGTTTTGTCAAAAGACATTACCTTGGCTGGGCTCGGTGGCTCAGCCTGTAATCCCAACACTTTGGGAGGCCGAGGTGAGTGGATTGCCTGAGCCCGCTGGTTCAAGACCAGCCTGGGCAACTTGGTGAGACCTCATTTCTACAATAAGTCAAAAAATTAGCTGGGCATGGTGGTGCATTCCTGTAGTTCCAGCTACGTGTAAGGCTGAGGCGGAAGGATCGCCTGAGCCCAGAAGGTTGAGGCTGCAGTGGCCATGA